TTTCCATGCGCTGCTCTGGTTCGCCAGAAGCGGCTTAGTCATGCTGGCCACATGACCTGGAAGCTGGACGCCTGCTTCCTCGGCCAGAAAAGCAAGATGAGCGCCGCACCCCAAAGTCATCCGCAACTGAACCTAACGGTCAGGGGTCCCTTTACTATAGCCAGGCCTTCACAAATATAATGTTTTAACTGCATTATACAAATGTGACACTAGATGGCGATGGTGAGCTTAGAGCAAATCAATATATTTTTCAAAATGTTTCTTTAAAAAACATTTTCACAGTGGGTTTTTTTATATGTGACTAGAGTCCCACCCCCGCCCCAGAATGGCCATAGCTGTCGAAACAATTGAAAGTTCCTCAGGGCAGAGACCTGTCCAATAGGATACTGCCTTCCGCTAGGTCAAACCCTTCATCCATCTAGCTCCATATTGTCTACATGGACTGGCAGAGGCTCTCCAGATTTCAGGCTTGGAATTGGCCTGCGAGCGCTCCAATTGGAGAACAGCCTTTACCAAAGGTGTCATGGTCTTTGAAGATGCTCAAACTCAGGACGAAAGGGAGAAACGTGCTAAGAGGAAGGCACATTTGGCAAACTCTGACTGTGATCAACTCCTGCCCGGAAACCAATGTCCCCACTGTGGAAGGATGTGTGGATCCAGAATTGGCCTCCACAGAAGACAATCTTACTCGGCTATGAGGGATCGCCAAAGAAGATGATTCCTAGTCCTCAGGACTGAATCCAGGGGCTTCTGCATTCGAAGCAGCCGCTCTGCCTCTGAGCGACAGCCCTTCCCCTGACCCCAGCCTCGCCAACAGGTGCTGTACCTTCTCCCCCTTGGAGCTGAACCACCGGAGACAGCGCATAGCAAATATTTGTGCGGCTGCCACCCTCGAATGCACATTCTGTGGTTCCGCCAGAAGAGATTTCTGCTTGAATGGCATTCCCTCCCTAGATAAATTCCCTCCTGTGAGAGAGCTGGATGCTGGGAGCTCAGTGCTACAGCTTCTGTTTTTCACGCAGAAGGCCTCAAGTTCAACCCCAGACTTCTCCAGGGAGGGCTGAGAGGACTTCCTCTCTAAAACCCTGGAGAGCTGTTGCCAGTCAGTGTAAACAGCCCTGAGTTAGATGGACCAGTGGCTGACTCAGCATATATCGCAGGAAACTGCCATATACAGGTAAAGGTAAAGGTACCCCTGCCCGTACGGGCCAGTCTTGACAGACTCTAGGGTTGTGCGCTCATCTCACTCTATAGGCCGGGAGCCAGCGCTGTCCGCAGACACTTCCGGGTCACGTGGCCAGCGTGACAAGCTGCATCTGGCGAGCCAGCGCAGCACACGGAACGCCGTTTACCTTCCCGCTGGTAAGCGGTCCTATTTATCTACTTGCACCCGAAGGTGCTTTCGAACTGCTAGGTTGGCAGGCGCTGGGACCGAACGACGGGAGCTGCACCCCGCCACGGGGATTCGAACCGCCGATCTTCGATCAGCAAGTCCTAGGCGCTGAGGCTTTAACCCACAGCACCACCCGCGTCCCATACAGAGCGTTCTCCAATTCACATGTCTCCATCTCCACTGCCAGGCGTAGTACTATCATACAAGGTGTTTTGTTCTCAGTCTTATAGTCCCGCCCCGACTGTCCTCCCCCCTTTAGCCACACCTATTAAGCACAGCCACCTCCCCTCCTTGGCCACACCCCCTTTCCTTAAAGAAGCAGGTGGAGTTGGCTAAAATAAATAAGAGTGCCTCTGAGTGTGTGCAGAGAGAAACACGCTGCAGGTTATCCACTTGGAATTAAGGAGCAGGGATTCCTATGCAGTCCCAAAGCCTCACGTTTTATCCCTTGACAAAGTCCATAAAGCAGCACCGTAAAGCATATGTAGCATTTTGGAACAATGTTTCTATTAAAATCAGACAAGTACCTGCAGTGTTGATACTCTGCCACCCATGGAAAGCCTTTTTGTTTTGCCAAGTTTTTTAGGGTTTTTTTGAGAATCTGATTCCGTGATCTGCTCAGTATTTTATCATCCAACGGTGTATTCATGATTGCAGTCTACACCACCATGATTCTCCACCCCTTATGAGTTGGCAGCTTATAGATATCCTTATTGTAAATAAATAAATGCCTCTCCCCGTTGATTTATGCAGAAATATAATGCACTTCATCACATCCCCTCTAATTGGCTGTTTGGCATTCCAGATTCATTCTGATTGGTAGTTCAGCATTCCAGATTCTGGCCCCATTCACATATTTAAAGCACGACGACCCCACTTTAAATAGTCACAGCTTTCTCCAAAGAATCCTGGGAGCTGTAGTATGTTAAGGGCGCTTAAACTTGTTAGGAGATTCCCTATTCCCCTCCCACTGCTACAATTCCCAGAGTGGTTTAACAGCCAATCCCTCTTCCCAGGGAATCATAGCTCTATGAGGGGACTAGGCAGTCTCCTAAGAACTCGCAGCACCCTTAAACTACATCTCCCAGAATTCTTTGGGGGAAGCCATGACTCTTTGATTTGGTATGATACTACTTTTAATGCTCCTTATTCAACATGCTCCAAATGCTAAACGAGTTGTGAAATGAGCTAAGTGCTCTTGAAATCAAGCTCCTCTAAAATTCCTCTTTGAGCCGCAGGTACAACAACCAAAACTTCTAAATATGCACCAGCGCCCGTTTGTGGCCTGATTCATGCCAACCATTTTGACATGGATAGTCTCTTGAGTTTCGTTTGCTCGGTCTTGCAGGATTTGCATCCGCAGAACCAGTCACAGGGATGGTTCAGCAAGCATCTCAAGGGCACCACAAAAGCTTCTTTTCAAAGAGATCTGTGCCAACAAGGATTTCTTATTGATTCAGTCTCCAGCCCACTCCATCCCCTTTGGGTGGGTGAGCAGACAGCATGTCTAATCCACACACATGGAAATACAGTTTTTTAAATGAATGGTGTCAGTGGTAAAATGTATTTGTGAGTAGGCTTTAAAATTGTTTGTAAGTCACTTGGAGACCTTTAGATGTCTAGTAAATAAAAAGGATTGCATTTTAAGCTGTCCTTAAGACCAGTTCCAAGCAGATGGGGAACATGAAATTCTTGTTAACGTTAGCATACAAAATACGGTTCTATGAGGCTAGCCAAAATGTTACATTGGTTTCATATGTTCATAAGGGGGTTCTTTTTTCTTTTCTTTTAAGTGCATTCACAAATTTCCAGATATGAAGCAACTGAGCAGATCCACACAAAAAAACTCAATGCACATTTAAAGCACTTGACTTCCTCCAAGGAATCATGAGAACCGCCGTTGGCAAGGGTGCTGGGAACTGTAGCTCAGTGAGGGGGCAACCTAAAGTTCCCAGGATTCTTCGGGGGGGGGGGAATCATGTGCTTTGAATGTGTGCTGGACGTGCATGGGAACTGGGGTCGGTTTGTTTTTTAACCTGAATGTGGATAGATCTATGCTTTACATTTTGCACCCTCCTGAAACCAATCCCCATTAGCGATGGAATTGGTGGACTCAATACGCAAATGATTTCTCTTTTGGGAGGGGCGAATCCAGCCCACCCTTCCGCTTTGCCACAGACTTTTGCACCCATATATTCCAGACACTTGGGGTGTCAATCCTGGGAGACTCACAGCAGCTGGGATGATCACAAATCTATTCCTTTGTTCAGCTACTGCTTTGCATAGAGGAGATTCGATTCCGGGGGAAAGTAGTACAGCATCTGCTTTGCATGCAAATAAGTCCAAGGATCGACACCTGGCGCTGCCAGGTGGAGCTGGAAAAATACTCCGTTGCCCTAAACCCTGCAGAGCTGCTGCCGGTCCGTGCAGGGGATAATGGGAAAGGCGCACCGATGCCCCGACTCTAAGGCCGCTCCCTCTTGTCCCTGGATCCTTTCTTAACTGGAGATGTCAGGAACTGAACCTGGGACAGATACACTGTGTATCTGAAGAAGTGTGCATGCACACGAAAGCTCATACCAAGAACTAACTTAGTTGGTCTTTAAGGTGCTACTAGAAGGAATTTTTTTGTTTTGACTATGGCAGACCAACACGGCTACCTATCTGTAACTGGGACTTTTTGCAAGCCATCCACGAGCTGCCTCTTGCTCAGCTATGACGACCCTCGTGTGGGTAAATAATAAAGCCACGAAACAGAATTTACACTTAGCCGGCCACGATGGGTGCTGCGCGCGTGCAGGTTGAAGCTGCAAAGCGAGCCAAGAGCAACCACAAAGCGCAAACCGACATGTGGTGAAAAAGCTTGGCTGAATCCAAGAGTAATCCCCTTTCGCCCCACTAGAGGGGGGACAGTCGTCAGCCCACAAGAAATGCCGGCCACCCGTGTGGGGGGCTCAATCCCAGGAAAACATGCCAGGAAACAACTTTTAAAACACACACACACACACACACACACACACACACACGAGAAAGATCTACTTGCATGCAACCTGGAGCAGCCCGACGGTGCTAACTTTGTGGTTGTTTTTTTAAAGACAAGAAACGGATTTAAACCCCCCCCCCCGCTCTGTAAAATCCAAGCTTGCTGCTTCTTTCTCAGATGGGGGGGAAATATATATACTTTGCATTTTAGACTGATCCACACAAACACTCCTGCCTGCCCTTGCATCTGAAATAAGCGCAGTGCAAACAAAATTGCAAGGGGAAACGCAGGGTTTTAAGACCCCCCCCCCAAAAAAAAAGCTGCAGAAAGAAGGCACTTAAGAGGGCGGCGCGGAAGAGGGAGAATTGCTCTGAAGTTGTTTAAAATCGCTCTCCGCGCTTTCCTTTCCCTCCTCCTTTGTTAGCAAAGTTCCTCTCTAATTCGCACCGAGATCCTATTTCGCTTTTCTGCATCCCTTCCCTTCCTTCTCACATCCGGCTCCCAACCTTTTTCTTTTTGCATTTAAAGAAGGATCCATAATTTCCCTAGAAATCTCTTCCTCCCCCCTCCCCCAGCCCAGCCTCAGCCTCCCACTCCCTCCAAGTTTTTTTTTGGGCTACTCACCGGCTGGGGTTGTTAGCCACGGAGGGCTGGCTAGGTTCTTGTTCACAGGGCTGGCCGAGGCGGCGGAAGGCGCAGCTTGTTTTGAAGGGCTGCCCTTGGCCGCCGCCTCCTTCTGGAGCAATTGGTGATGTCAGAATCCGAGCTGGGTGTGGAAAAGGGGGAGAGGGGAAGAAAATGATTTTTTTTCTTTCAAATGTGCCAATCAATCTCTCTCTTCACTCTCTGCAGAGCGGCGGGAGAAAGAGATTTAAACAGGAAAGCCCCAGATCTGCAAATTTCACCCAACACCGACCTCCACTCCCAAATGTTTAGGGTACGTTCCCATAACTGGGGAAACTGGGAGAGGGGCATTTGTTCGTTTCCTGCCCCATCACTGGAATAAACTGTCTTCCAGATGTTCTCCCTTGCCTTCTGAATTTATGGCTGCAAATATGGTGTTCCTTCCAAGAACTGTGCTGTCTCTGAAGTTTTAGACTTTTCATTCTCCGTAAGGTTTTTCTAAGCTGCAACTTGGCTGAGCTTTTTCTTAAAAACCGGGGGGCATTCTGCGTTTTGCTGAGCTGAATTAAAAGTGTCTTCTCTCCCGTCCTCCTCTAAATTGTACTTAATCACATTTTTTTAAAAAATATATATATTTTAAAGGTGTTGGCTTCAAACTACATTTTTAAAATACAACAAAATACAGCAAAACCCCACCCCACCCTAAATTACTTTAATTTTTGAATTTTACATACGCAACAAACCTGTTCCACCTCCCAAGCTACTGAGATCACTTCAAATTGGATTTCATTCAGTGAAATCTTTCTTTAAAAAAAACAACAACTAAAGCCAAGAATCTCTTGCATGCAAGTTGGAAACATGTGTGGTGTCTGTTGAAAAGGCTGGTGGATAATTAACAGTTATTTTCTTAATGGGCACTGATGACTAAAGCTTTTTCCTCAATGGTTTTTGATGGCTGCTGGCAACTGGTAGTACCATTTCATACTTATTTATTGCATTTATACCCCCAACCTTTTCCTCCAAGAAGTTCAAGGTGCGGTTCTCCCCCTCCTCATTTAATCCCCACAAATACAACCTTGTGAGGTAGACTCAGCTGAGAGACAGTGAGTGGTCCAAAGCAACCCAGAGTTTCACTTTTTAACCCATTCTTTTTTAAAGTACAAAAATAATAATTCTGATGTCCTTCTTGTATATTAATTTTTAAAACACGTACTCTATTTTGTTTATATTGATAAGGCTTTGGGGTCGACAATGACTTTATTTGTTCATCAAAGGGTCTGTGAAGTCAAGGTGTTTGAGAAACTGTGCCCTGTGCCTTTATTATCCTATCTTTGGTCTCCTGTTTAACCTGCACCTATCATAGATTCATGGAAGTGTAGAGTTGGAAGGGACCCCAGTGGTCATCTAGACCAACCCCTTGAAATGAAGGAATCTCTCTAGCATCCAAACCTGTTTTTCTAGACTGTAATGTGCTCAGGGCAGGGACTTGTACCTCACAGTGCACGTGCTGCGATGACAATCCATTTTGTTTCTCTTTATTTCCTTAATAAAATTTATATATCGCTCGATTATTCAAGGGAAAACCCTCAAGGCGATTTGCAAAGTGAATAAAGCAGTAACATTACAGGTATTATCTCAGAACTTGAACGTAATCCGTTCCGGAAGACCGTTCAACTTCTGAAACGTTCGAGTTCCGAGGCGTGGCTTCCAATTGGCCGACAGCTAGGTTTCTGCACAGCAGAAGCCGTGTGGGACATTTGTTTTCAGGGGAATGTTCAAAAACCGGAGCACTTACGGTACTTTCAGGTTTTTGGCATTCGGGAGCCGAAATGTTCAAGAATGGAGCCGTTTGAGTTCCGAGGTACCACTGTGTAGTGGTACCTTGGGTTAAGAAGTTAATTTGTTCCAGAGGTCTGTTCTTAACCTGAAACTGTTCTTAACCTGAAGCACCACTTTAGCTAATGGGGCCTCCCACTGCCGCTGCGCTACTGGTGTGCGATTTCCATTCTCATCCTGAAGCAAAGTTCTTAACCCAAGGTACTATTTCTGGGTTAGCGGAGTCTGTAACCTGAAGCATCTGTAACCTGAAGCGTCTGTAACCCGAGGTACCACTGTATCAGTAGAAACAGTCAAAAGCAACTACAGTGGTACCTCGGGTTACATTTATCTTAATAAATGTCATCACACAGGCAATAGGAAGTAGCAGCATCTCTTCAGAACAAACTGCTGATTTTGCCAACTTAACAAGTCAGCTTAGCTGCAAACAGCTGACTTGCTGGCTGGAAGGAGCACAAACTAAGTGAATTATAGTTGAGGGACATCCATGCTCTGTCCAAGGCGTCTTTGCTCGAGAACAGTGAGAGGTTTGTGATTCAAGAGGGACATGTTCTCTGGCTCCCAACCAGGCGCTATAGCTGAAGGGGAGACATAAAATCAATCAGGCAACCAGCTCCAAAGGCAGCTGCTACTGAAATGTAAAAGCATTTAAGACAGGGGTCAGCAACCTTTTTCAGCTGTGGGCCGGTCCACTGTCCCTTAGAGTCTTAGACCATGTGGTGGACTATATTTTGAAAAATATATATGAATGAATTCCTATGCCCCACAAATAACCCAGAGATGCATTTTAAATAAAAGCACACATTCCACTCATGTAAAAACACCAGGCAGGCCCCACAAATAACCCAGAGATGCATTTTAAATACAGCGGTACCTCGGGTTAAGCACTTAATTCGTTCCAGAGGTCCGTTCTTAACCTGAAACTGTTCTTAACCTGAAGCACCACTTTAGCTAATGGGGCCTCCTGCTGCCGCCGTGCTGCCGGCGTGCAATTTTTGTTCTCATCCTGAAGCAAAGTTCTTAACCCGAGGTACTATTTCTGGGTTAGCAGAGTCTGAAGCGTATGTAACCTAAAGCGTATGTAACCTGAGGCAACCACTGTAAAAGGACACATTCTACTCATGTAAAAACACACTGATTCCTGGACTGTCTGTGGGCCGGATTTAGAAGGTGATTGGGCCGCATCCAGCCCACGGGCCTCAGGTTGCCTACCCCTGATTTAAGGGGAAGAGGCTAATATCAACCGGAAAAACCCAGCACATCCCCATCATACGTAAGTCTTCATAGGTTGGCTGCATTTTTATCCCACACTCACTCCAAGGAACCTAGGTGGCATTTATAAGGATCCTCCACCTTTTCTCATTTACTCTCATGACAAAACTGTGAGGTAGGCTATGCTAGCCCAAAGCCCCTCAATTCCAGATTGGCTTGCCAAGCCAGGAGCACCCCATACCTTGAGGTTTTCAGCGCCCACACCTGAGACCTAGGAGCAAGACATCTGGTGATGTCATGGAGGGGAGGCCCCTGGTGATGTCGTGAGGACAGCCCCTGGAGATGGAGGTTAATTGGGAGAGGGAAGTGGAGGAAGGCAGATCCTCCCAGAGTGTCTCTGCTAGAATTTGCAGCTAGCTTCTGCCAGGCTGAAGCTTGCGGACTTCTTAATCTCTTTATGAAAGGCACTCTTGCCCACCTGAAGAGGCGAGCCCTCTGCCTGCCACCTGGAGGAGGCCCGGTAAACCTGGAGACTTCAGGTCAGGTGTGGCAGTCTGTCAAGGAGACCAAAAGGTCCAGGCCCAAAAGTAGCCTGTGTCTAAGGACCCCAAATCCTCAAACACCTCATCAGGAGGATTCCTTGTGAGCAAGTAAGCCTTGCAACTTCCTTCACCTGTGGTTCAGGTGTGGTCTAGGAGGCCTGAATATAGAAGGTCTCCCTCCTGAGTCTTCTCATTCCTGAAAGCAATACAGTGGTACCTCGGGTTAAGTACTTAATTCGTTCCAGAGGTCCGTTCTTAACCTGAAACTGTTCTTAACCTGAAGTACCACTTTAGCTAATGGGGCCTCCTGCTGCTGCTGCTGCACCGCCAGAGCATGATTTCTGTTCTCATCCTGAAGCAAAGTTCTTAACCTGAAGCACTATTTCTGGGTTAGGGGAGCCTGTAACCTGAAGCGTATGTAACCTGAGGTACCATTGTACGAGCTTCTGGCTCATTGTTGCCAAACTTAGTCTTGTTCACCTGCTACCTGGGCTGCCTGTGGGATTAAACTTGCCTCTGAAGGCTGGTTTTGGCACCTCAGCCGATTCCCTGGGCTTGAACCTGGCTTGCTTGCACTGCCCTCCACCTTTAACTCTGCTCTCCTCAATGAGTGTTTTGGTAAGAGGCTGAGGCTTCCAGCGATTGGCTCCCTCTATCCCCTGAGGGCACCCAGTTGGAACATGACACCCAAGTCAGTTCTACCAAGGGTGGCCAGGCTTGTGCATTGCCTACAGAAACGGAAAGCATTGCCAAAACAAGAGGACAAGTTTGCTTAACATTTGCACATGCTAATTTAAGTGCATAGGCACACATTTCGGAATAATGGCAGTAGGCTGGGGATTTCATTCCGTGAACAGGCTATGAGGACCCTTTTATACCTTTGAAATGTTGCTGAACTCAGTGGATGGCATATCTAAGGGGCTGGTAGCCAGGATCTATAGCTTGCGTGTCACAGCCAGTGCCAGATTTATGTATAAGCTAAACAAGCTATAGTTTAAGGCCACAGTCTCTTGGGGGCCCCCAAAAAATATAAAGGGGAAAAGAAACTGGATACTTCTTCTTAATTGTCCATAAATTACAACATAGCATATATTCAACACAAAAAAACAGTGACAATTTGTTGTTGACAAAGGACAGCTGGACATATAAAGGGCCCCATTACCTTCAGTAGCTTAGGGCCTCATCAAACCTAAATCCGGCCCGGGCCACAGCTGATATAGAGACGGCAGAAAAATAGGTGGCCATTTGGGAATAAATTATTGGAATTGTGATCATCGTCATCTAACATAAGTTTTGTGGAAGCAAATTGGGATGAATGCTCAACAAATGTGTCAAACAAAAGAGTGCAATCTTCCTTCCTTCCTTCCTGTGTCTGATATAACTGTCACTGTCGTGGGACACTGGTGGTGCTGTGGTCTAAACCACAGAGCCTAGGGCTTGCTGATCAGAAGGTCGGCGGTTTGAATCCCCGTGATGGGGTGAACTCCCGTTGCTCGGTCCCTGCTCCTGCCAACCTAGCAGTTCAAAAGCACATCCAAGTGCAAGTAGATAAA